GTGTTGTGTGTCTGCACTGCGCAGCTCTTCTCGTGGTAACACAAATCTCTCACCTCCATTTTGAGTTTGTGTCGCTGTGACCAGGATTCTGACAAAATGTGGGTCAAAACCTCGACGTGATGAAATCTATCAAAGCTGCTCATTAAACTGATTTAATTCACCTTTAAATGTACAAAACTTAACTTCAATGAAAATGCACGACATTAAACACACATTTAAAATAAATAGAAATCATTTTATGTTGTTGTTGTTTGTTATTTTTAACACCTGCTCATTTAACTAAACGATTTAAATGCATGATTTGGAGATTTACCGTTAAATTAATTTAAATTTATTCATTTTCCAGAATCTATACGACATTAAACACAAACTTATTTTTAATTTATCATTGCTGTGTTGTCAATGACTTCCAATGAAAACATAATTAATGACATAAATTAAGATTTTAGCTTAAATTAACAGCTTCGTTGAGGAAAATGATCTCTGCAGGTTTTAATTTATGTTTATTTTTGATTTATTGTTGTTTTTTTTCCTCTTAATAACGTCTCTTGTAAACATCACAGAATCATCGTTAAAGGCTTTTGCTGTTAATTTATTCAGCACACATTAATTAATTTATCTTTTTTATTAAACGGCATCTAATTAACCAATAAACTGGCATTTTCTAAAAAATTAAAAATAATTTTCTTCTTTATATTTTTAAATTTATTTTGTGGTATTTTTGAATTATTGCTGTTTGAAACTTTAGGAAATAAAATATAATTATTATAACTTTTAACATAATAAAAGTCTGTATTGCTAAAGACATAACTAATTGTGATAATTACAGTGAATTAAGATCTAAACGAATCTTTCCACCTGACTGTAAACTGTTTTTCTTAGAAGCAGCTTAACATTGAATTATTGATCGGTGACATTTCAAACGATTCCTGTCCAATAATTCTCCGTCAGACTTGGACTAATTGGACGTTTGTGTCAGATTAACGAGCAGGAAGCCGTTGAATAATGGAGGCGTATTGACGTGTTGTGCTGCGGTTGTGTTTCTGTGCAGGAGCACGATGTGGAGACGCCCTACGGGATGCTGCACGTCGTGATCCGAGGAGCTCCGAAAGGCAACAAGCCCGCCATCCTCACCTACCACGACGTCGGCCTCAACCGTGAGTTTCACAAGTCAGAGCAGGTGTTCGGCTTCTGAGGTGAAAATTGGCTCCGAGAATGAGTCACAAGTCAAAGATGCTTTCAATAAAACTTCATTAATACATTTAGATACCAGAAGTAGAAAGATTCAATCCGACACAATGGGGGGAAATGAGCTGATTTTAATTTTAAAAAATACATTTAATGCATATTTTCTTGATGAATGCAGGTTTTAGTTTGTTTATTTTCTTTTAATTTTGAGTTATTGTTTTATATAACGTCACGTGTAAACATCACAACATCACAGTTAAAGGCTTAAATTGAGGTTTAAAATAATAAATTAATATAATTCATATGCAAATGTACTTCATGTATTCATGTTCTTGAAACACCCTCTGTGGGAGGTTAAACGGAGGTTTTGATTCATTGATTAATTCTCAATACTTTCTCACGTAAACAGGATTATTGGTTTAAATTGTTTTTTTGTTTACTTTTAACTTAATAACCATACATTATTTATAGATTTGATTGGAAATACACATTAAACACACAATTTCTTTTAAAAAATGGTTTATGTGAGTTAAACATTTTTACAAAATTGCTGTTTTTCTTTTTGTTTATTTTATTTTGTAGTTTCCATTAATTTTCCGTCACATGATAAAAATGCATTTTGGACACAAATCAGTGTTTTTTTTCAGTCACAGTGAACACTTGAAGTCAACTTTTACTCACTAGAAAACCCCAAAACTCTGAAGATCAGTCTCCCAACATATCCCGGACGAGCCCCCATTTAAATCAAGATGCAGCTCAGGAGCCCAAACAGGAAGTGAAGACACTGGATTTTGCAAAAATGAGAGTTCTGTCTCCATAAAAATTACCAGCAGATCCCAGATGAGCCTCCATTTATACTATGAAGCAGCCTGTGGGCTGCAACGTGATGTCCAGACAGTAGATTTAGTAAAAGTCAGACTTTAGTTTCCACAAAAAGCGTCCAATTTATGTCATGATGCAGTCTGGGGGCCGGAACAGGAAGTGAAGACATCAGAATTTGCAAAAATAAGACTGAGGTCTCCACAAAGAGTTCTAAAGATCCCAGACGAGCTCCCATTTATGTTAGGAGTTGGCTTGGGGCACATTGCGAAGTGCAGACACAGGATTCTGTAAAAAACTGACTCAGTCTCCACAAAAAGAGTCCAAGAGACCCGACACGAGCCCAGTTTGTGTTGGGGTGCAGTTCTGGGGCTGAAACAGGAAGTGAAGACACCGAGATTTACAAAAATAAGACTTATGACTCCACAAAAAGTCATCGAGATCCCGGACGAGCCCCCAAGTGGAGACAATGGATTCTGTTAAAAACTGACTCAGTCTCCCCAAAAAGAGTCCAAAAGACCCAACAGGAGCAACAGTTGTGTTGTGATTCAGGTTTGGGGACTGAAACAGGAAGTGAAGACATCAGAGTTGGCAAAAACAAGAGTTTAGTTCCACAGAAAGTCCCCATTTATGTTTTGGTGAGGCTAACTGATGACAACATAAAGTCACCAGAATTTGTAAAAATAAGAGTTTGTGAAGTTTGTGAAATGCAGATTGTAGATTTTTGTAAAAGTCAGACTTTAGTTTCCACAAAAAGAGTCTGATTTACGTCATGAGGCAGCTTGGGGGCTGAAACAGGAAGACACCATAAATAAGAGTTCTGTCTTCATAAAAACCGTCAAAAGATCCCAGACGAGCCTCCAATGACCTAACATAACATCCTGATAGAAGACACCGGTCCAGTCTGTCCTCTGTGGAGACACTTCCTGCAGTTCATCTGAAACCTCCTGATTTTCCGTCTCCTGACTGTCGGTCACGTCTGAGTCAGTCGAGGCTTCACAGCAGCACAGAGGAGCTCAGACTGTTTCGTCTTTACAGAATCAGGCTCCAGCAAATTGTTCATTTTTTCAAACTTTCTAAAATAGAATAAATAGATTTTGGTGAAATATTACAAATTCAAGCTCAGAGTTGATGAGTTTTACCGACTGAATTCGTAGAACACCTAAACGTTGGAGCTCTGATTCTTTTTTTACACGATTCAGTTTCATTTTGGTGATTTTTTTTTCCAGGTTTTTGATCTGGAAAGTTAAATCTCCTCCGTCATCTGCTGTTGATCCCCAACAAAGACACCGATAGTCGGGACAATCCTATTAACTGGAGAAATCTGCTCATTTCCAGCCGTAAAACTCACAAACCCCCTTAAAACCAGTAAAGCAGAGGCTTCAGATTAAAGCTGTGCAGCGACTCTCAGGCTGAGCTGGACATCGGAGTCAGTGGAGACCTTCAGCAGATTATTCCTCCTGCACAGATCAGATGTAATTAGGCTGAAACTGGACATTAAGCTGCGCAGGAATCACCTCCGGCTCGGCGTCCAGCAGCTGTCGGGACGTTTACGTCGGATTAATGCAGCTGAGCTCCGTAATTTAATAAAGAGTTAAGACAGAAGAGCAGCGGCGACAGAAACAAAGAGTTCGTCTGCACTCCAGAAATAGAAAGAGGAGGAGACGAGGGCCAATGAGGGGCTTCGATGAATGTAGGTCACAACAACATCCTGCAGAGAAGGTGGGCGGAGCCTCTGCGGCGCTGCATCACTGCAGAGCTGCTGCTGCTCGAGATGAAGGATGAAGAGA